TTAAAATGCAGACCGGCGGCGGAAATACGTCCCAGACCCATCACAAGCCAGGACTGAGCTGGGCTGCTGGCCAGCCTGCTAAAAGAATTGCTGGCAGGGAAGGGAAAATACATGTAGTCTATAGTATTAATCGATAAGCTCTTGCTTATTGGTTAATAGACTATACTATTACATCCTCAGTAGAAATATATTAGCTCTTATCACTGTTCCTTATATCAATGTGAGTGGTGATTGGCAGAAAAATATAACCCCTTGAAACCTCCATAGTTTTCTTTAAAAGATCGCGGGAGGCTGGACGGAGGGGAGGAAACCCGACGGTGGTTTCTCAGGGGCTAGGAGCGAGGGGCTACTTCTCCGGGGGCGGGGCTGAGGAGCTGGTGCCCATTGCAGGAGGCGGTCTGGTTGCTGTGGCACAGTGATAACGTGTCTGCTTTCAAACCAGCTTTTCCCATTAAAATGCATGCCCCTTGTTCCATGAGGCTATGTTACAAATTGTCACCTCATTCCCTGCATGATAGGAGAGCGATCACATCTCTTCAAGTGTGAGTGTCTTAGGCTGAACATATTGAACCACCCCCAATTTCAAACAGTGATTTCTAAAGCCAGAAATGTCTGCTATTTTGGCATCCAGGAAACAATTTCACCATTCACACTAATACAGGTGTTCATGTGTAGTGTATCAATGTGTTATTAAATAATAACTGAATAAAATAATATTAAATACATAATTAAAAACAACATCCATGTTTTGATTGTTTTTTATTTGGACCTCAAGTGTGTAGTCGGCCCCCGAACTGCTGTTTGATAGTTAATGCGGCCCTCGGGCTGAAAAGTTTGGAGACCCCTGGTCTATAGCATTAACTGATATGCTTTTGCTTATCTGTTAATCAACTACACTATTACATCCCTACCTCAGTATGCTCCTGCACCCTACTTCCTGGCCAGACCCCACACCTCACTCCGTCTTTCACCCGTTCTGTCTTCATGGGTGATTGGCTGGTGGTCTGCGGAGAAGGTCTGCATGGGTGGGGGTGGGTTGCGGATCAAAAAGTTTGAGAACTGCTGTGCTAGATGGTAAAACCATGCACATATTAGCTCTTGTTTGGAAGTCCAAGAGAAATGGAAACAAAAATTCCTCCAGAGATGCATGCCTAGAGCCCAGCATGGATACAAAATTTGTATTCGCTTTCAATCTGGGATCCACAAATCAGATATCCACAGACTTGCAGGGCTCTTCTTATACTGATTCCCTACCCCAATCCAATCCCTAGCTTTCCCTTTTGGAGACCACCAACTTTCTGAGTCGGTTTGATCCAAATGTGTCTTTTTGCCCAAATTCCTACCCAATGCAGAACAGAACTTATTAAATAAATAGAGCAGAGCCCCAAATCTAACCTCACTGGAGTAAAACCATTTAAATCAATGGAATTACTTCTGACTGGCCCTGCATGTAAAAGATACAGAAAGTCCCTGCTTTAAGTGGAAGGCTACTTTGACATACGCCAATTTATTCTAGGGTGGATATAATCAGGAATGCTGTTACTGTCTTTGCTCTGAATCAGATCTATAGCATTCATATAAAAGGTCAGAGTAGGGTATTACTCCAAAATATTACCAGTGCAAGTAAAAATTTAAAATTCTCCCATATAAAATG